GCGAAACTACTTTGTTTGGTCTTCCAAAAGAGGACGATATCTGCTTCGTCATGCCTGGAGCTGATCCGTGCTGGTCGCTGAGGAAATACTTCAACTTTGCGCTGTTGATCGCCGGATTGGCTTTCACCGTGGACGAAGCGGAGTCCAACCCAGGGTCGTCACATGTGGTTGCCGCAGGCATCACAATATGAAAGTGAAAAAGTGACGTGACATGTGGCCAAGTATGGTGACCCATACTCGGAATTAGTGCTCTGTCATAGAGGAAAAACAATAATGTACAGTATGTTTTTTTAACCTTAAACCGCATAAACACATTTCATTACACCAAATACACAAAATAATGTTCTTTTTAGCAACATCATATGACCCCTTTAAGTGAATTTGATTGGTTAATTAATGACCCGGCACAACTCCTAATTGTACCACTATCACTGTGACTTACTGAAAAGTCTGTCAGCATCCATGAAGCTCATTCCTCAGAATGTTTGTTTGCGAGGGGAAAGTGTGCTGCTGGCTGACCTTATTAGGCATCTGTTTTATGCATGTACCTGTGTGAGATTACCGCCGCAGTCAGCAGCCTTGCAGCTGGTCCAGGGACGGTGGAGTCATCAGCTTGTGGCTGTTTTTATAGGGTCATTCATCTATCACGGGAACAGCACACAAATTTAGAAAGGGCATTGGAGAATGTCAAACCAAAACATTACCACTGAGCAAGAGCTGCACGCAAAGACCAAGAATGACAACGAAAGAAACTATTCTAAATAAGAAGTTTTATTAGTGTGTGTCTGAATCAAATCTGTGATATAACCCACTCGGCAGTCAGCCCCATGCCTTTGACCGAAAGAGGCCATGAAACGTAAAGATGTGGATAATGCTGAGGTATATGAAACTTTGAAATCACATGGGGAAACAGAAGTGGGTGAGTTCCCATTTATATAGGTATGAGACAAATAAACTCCCTCCAGCATATCCGAGTCATCTGTAATCCATACAAACTATAGGATCTGAGATAGAGTTTTATGTAGAGTACAAAAAAGGCACCATTTTTGTAGTTTAAATAGTGCATGAAAGTAAATACAGTATTGCGTAAGGGAGAGTGGGGTAAGCTCTGCTGCACAGTCAATATTTGTCATGTGACCATATATTTCTATTTCATATAGCTCATCATAGCTGTCTGTGATTGAGAGATGCAAATGTGATAATTTATTTATTCATGAATAAATTGATAGACTTAATTTATGTATGTATGTATGTATGTATGAGGGCAGAGTTAATTTAGTAAACTAAAACTAAAAAAAGTTACTTTAATATAAATATAAACAAAATAAAATAAAATACAAAAAAAACATTTCAGCTATTTTTAGTTCAGCTATTTTTTTCACTGAGTTCAACTTGATGTAGTAAAACTAAAAATAAACAGAAATAAAAATTAACAAATTGTAAACATTTAAAAAATAAAAATGACAAAAACAGAAGTGAAAATTATAA